GAAGAGCAGCAGAGGTAAAGCATAATAATCTGCTACATAAAAGGATGTCAAAAGCAGGAGAGCAATGTACTTAAAACAGTACCAAGCTTACGTTCCTGTGTCTGTAAATCCCCTGAGATGCAAAAGTACACAGTAAAAGTGGTCTTCATTTCAGTCTGTTTTAAGCAATTGTGTAGCACTAACAGTGTGCGAGAACAAGCCTCATCTACCTGGTCCTCAGACCTAAACTGACCTATCTGCCCTCTGTCATCTCTTTGTACCTAGAAACCTAACTATGAAGTTGCTACAGGCAAAATTCACCCATAATGTTAGTCCCTTTGTCTGCTGTAATTGAAATTGCACCAAGCATAAATCTAATTTCACATGCTGTAGAGTTTGCTGGGGAGCTAAGGCATTACCTAGCTTAATATTTGTTCAAATGCCATCAAAAAAGTGCTCCTTGAAAAGGACATTTTCAAACCAGTCCTTGGCTGGCTGCTGTGAGGGGGGGCTGTGCTAACCCCTCTGGCCTGGGGGCGGGCAGCAGCAGGCTGCCCAGAGCTCCCCTGTGCAGTAAAGGTGAAGGGCGTCCTTACAAAGTGTCTGAGAAGGACAGACTGTGTGCAGAAATGACCCATAGGAGACAAAACAGAGATGAGCAGAGTAGAAATGCAAATCTTTCAGGAATGTGGCACCCCTGAGACAGCATCATGTCCCCTGCCCTGAGCTGGTTACGTTGCTGGAGCTGTAAGCCTCTGGTGGCCTTGGCAGTCTGCAGTGTCAGGCCACAGCTGCTTTTTCCTCCTCTGCCATTGCCTCCCCCAGATCCAAAGGGAGTGTAAATATGCCCATATTCATTCCCTGAGGATTGATTAATCACAGGCTCAGGCTTGTACCATATTTTGAAGTAAAGCAACATGCCCTGTAGCTGTATTCTCCTTTCCCACTCAGTGATGGGCAGTGCTCTGCAAACCTCTTTCATTCCTGTTAGTCTTTAGTACTGTATTTCCATCCTTTGCCAGTCATGATCGGACTCTCCATCATTTCTGGTCTCTGGTACTCTGTGTCAAGCATGACTGGATGTAGGATGTGGTAACAAAGCAGTTTGCTTGGTAAAACATACATCTTGGTAGCTCCATCAGTTTGTTCTGTCCTCTGAACTGATACAATGGTAATGGGAAGACAGATGTAAAGAGGTGCTGCCATGTAAAAGAAAAAAAAAAAACAAAAGAACAAAATTCTCCTATTGCTTATTCACAGGGAAAGCGATTCACACGTCAGTGATCTGTTAATCTCCACTTTTAACTCTTTTTTGTGATAGCACCTCTTTTTTCCATTTCTCATGGCTTGCATCATGGAAGCAGGTTAAGCCGTTTCACTTCATTTCTCATCTTTCTCCGGCAACAGTGTGTGAGGGGGCTGTGCTGTGGCTGTACACATGGCAGGGGAACGTGTATTTACTTTGAGGAGACTGGAAAACAGGCCTCACACTCCCACAGTCACTGGAAACAGGCTGTCTGTGTGTCTGGGACCTGCTTTGCCCAGACCTGCTGTCAGGGATCATCCTGCCGCGCTTTGGAAGCTTGGTTTCTTTACCTAGCTGAGACTGTCTTCTGAAGGCAGTCCTCTCTTTTCCTGCTGGCTGGAAGGAAGGTAGTTTGCAAATTAAGAGTTACCTACTCCGTGCTCGCTCCTGTGCTGGAGATCACGAGTGCTGCCATGGCGGGAGACAGGAAGGGACAGCTGATGCTCCCTGACAGCACCTCCAGGTGTGGGGTGGCTTCACCTGGAGTGGAAGTCTCCACCATGGGGAAGAAGGGCTGGGAGGAGCTGGGGGGAACCGACTGGTGGCCGTCACAGGATGCAGTTTAGGAGCTGCTGCCCAAAGAGGTCATTGCTCCCCTTTCTCTTTAGTGTCCCCCAGCGTTCCCCACATGCTCCCACTCTGCATCTTTGCTCCTGTGTGCTGAGATCAGCGAGAGCAGGGGCTGCCAGGAGGGAAATCAGCCCAACAACAAAAGTGTTGTGTCCCTTGTCTGTGGCTGCTTGTGCCAGTTCAACAGCCAAAGGAGCAGAGATGGAGCAGGCAGCTGGAGAACGGGAAGACCACCCCTCCAGCCTCAGCCAGCAGAAAGCGGTGTGAAAACCATGTGTCTTGAAACAGGGAGAGTAAAACTGTGCATGGGGGTAAGAGGCAGAGAGGGAGAGCCCGTGCAGCCAGTGGCACAGGGGGAAGCAAGGGCCATGTCCTCTCCCCTCTCCCGTGCAGGCTGATCTAACTTAAAGATAATGGGAAACACTCCCCCCTACGCTATTTACTGTACAAGCTCTTTCTAGCATTTAAAGCAAGGCATGTGCACCTGCCTGTAAAACTAAATCAAGCCCCCAAGACCTGAATTTTTGGCAAGCCTGATGTGGCAGCATCTCTTTACTGTGTAAACCTGTTACCATGTTACAGTCTGGTATTTCCATCTGGTGGTAAAAACAATGTTTATTGCTTTTTACTGATTACAACTGATTTTGTTACCCATTTTTACTTATCCAGTGACATAAACAGCGCAGTGACAGGTGCATTAAAAAAATAGCTGTGTTAACACTGAATCATTTCTGAGTGAGCAGTGGGTTTTAACACACAGACTAGTTTGGTTTAATTCACAGATTCCCTCAAAGTGTTTCACAACTGTTCAGATTTCAAGAGGTGTCTTTTTCAGCATTAGGTTTTTTGGTTTTTGTCTGAAGATTTTAAAAGTATTTTTATTTTCTGTGACTGTATCTGTTATTGTTCCATCCTTAGCTACCTTTCATGATTTATCAGTTACTTTCTGCATACTTTGGTGTCCGTTTTCTCCAGTCCTTCTATTTTCCCAGTGAGAATGAAGATAACTTTCTTGTTTTCTTACCAGCATTTATGAATCAAGCCCAAACTCTATTTATAATAGTCCCTCGAAAAATGGAGACTGTGATTTCTTTTACAGCTGTAGAATCTGCTCTGTTTGTTTAATGGTAGGCATCTATCTTTATTCTCCAGAAGTGTAACTCCTCAAGGGCAAGGCTTTCAAGCATGCAGAGACAGAGGGTTCTTCATTTGAAAACAATTATTTCATAATGCACCAAAATGAGGGACTCGAGTGAGGACTTAATTACCATTTCACCAAAATCCTTGGATGCTCAGGCCCTTTGAGCGTAGGAGTGCATGGTGAAAGCATGTAGCAAATGGAGCTTGAAACAGAGCGGTGTGTGGTTCTGCAGAGAAACTCCACCACAGCGGAAGATGCATTTCCTTTTCTATGTGTCTGTACCCATACATAGCTTCAGCACAGGCCTTCTGCCACATTCTAGGCCCAAGTGCTGGCTTTTCTTTGTCAACTCTGCTATACTGGTTTCTTTTTCTGATAATAATGACCTTGCCCAGCTGTCAGGCCAAAGATCAAATTCAGATCCAAGTCTCCTTGCTTTGCTCCAGGTTGGCTCTGTGCTGACTGCTGACTTAGCCCAGGGTGCATTTTAGAGCTAAATCTACAGAGACACTTGGATGTTGAGAAGAAATATTGAATTTTGGAGTTACACTCTTAGTCTTTACAGGTTGCTCCAACTCCTCAGTCTTAGTATCTAGAATAAGTTTGTCACTGGATAGTAATTTGCAGGTTGGTCATATTTTATGCCTAAACTACTTTACAATGCCCCATAAAACATTATGTTAACTGATTTTTTGATTACACCATTTTGTCTATGGTCTAGCTGAAATGGGGTTATCCCCAGGCAAACTTCAGATTATCATTTCACTTTCTGCCTGGTTTAGCATAACACAAATTGCTAGTGATTAAGTTTGCATGACTTAAGAAGTTATTGGACTTCAGCTGGAAGTTGCTGTCTCTCAGCTTGAAAGTGATGCTAGCAAGGCCATTTCACTTGATGGGAAAGCAACTTCCAGCTGTGGGGAAAGAGACTTCTCTCTCCATATCCTTATTTCATTGATACGAGCCAGCCTAGCTGGAAAATCTGATTTCTGCCACTATTTACCTATTTGATCTCCGTGGCAACTATGTTTCCAGAGGACAGTTTATGAAGCCTAAAGCAGGAGAAGCTTTTCTCCTGTTGCTGCATGCCTAATGTGAGCACTGACACTTCCATGCTAGTGCTATCCAAAATCCAGAGTATTTCACTCATTTTTCAGTGTAAATCATTATAATCAGTGCCACTTACTCTGTGTTTACAGCAAGAATATACCCTAACCATTGTAAATGTATGTTTCTAGATTTTGTTGTTCACCAGATTTTGCCCTACCAGTCAGTTTCAGTGGATACATTCAACTCAAAGAATGATGTGTTCGTAGCCATTGCACAGCCCAGCATGGAGAACTGCATGGTGCTGGAGTGGGATCACATTGAAATGAATTTCAGGAGTTATGACAATATCACAGGTATATGAACACTGGGATTCCAGTCATTGATGAACTCTTGGCATTTCACAAGGATGAGATTCGTAGATGGGACCAGTTGATGGTTTTTGTCCCGAATCTCTGTTGAATTTGGCAGATCAAAGTGTGTAATGTTTGGACATGAGTGCCTTAATGGAGTAGTGCATCATGTTAATACACGCACGTTTAACCTCACCATAGCACACAAACTAGGCTTTTTTTGTCTGATCTTGTAGATTGTTCTGAAGGCACAAACGCTTGCTGTGAATGTCACACTGTGGCCCAACTTAGATGCTCACTGCCTGAATCACACTGCAATTTAAAGTGTAGGTTAAAGCAGCACTCCCTCTTGCCAAAGTGCCTGCAAAATAGTATATAAAAATACTCTACTGCCTGTAGAAGAAAATTGGTCTGAAGGATGCCTCTAGGGTGGACTGGCTGGGAAAGTGTGTTTCACAGCTGAAGATGACATAGAAATATTTGAACTGTGGTTGTTACCTAAAGAGATGTGCTGTGAAGCTTTCACATTTACTTTCCTTTTACAAACATGCTAAATAAAGCATCTTGGCCAGATTACTCATCAAACACAAAGCCCATGTGGATGCCAGGTGATTTCCTAATACTAACAACCATTCTGTCCCTGACTGACACTCATGGTGCTATACAGAGCACAGTCACACCATGACAGCAGAGACAGAGTCTCTAGAGCCCAGTTTCCCAGCTGCTTCAGGCTACTGTTTCTGCAGGAGCTAAATTTATCCATGGAGCATCCTTCCCTCCTGTTCCTTGTTATGTGTGACATTATTTTTACCTTGCATTTTGGGAAACAAAGTGTATGCTGTGTCCTAATCTGGTGTTGTCTACAAAGGCAGCAAGCACCTGCCTCCTCAGATCAGCTGTGTATGTCACTAACAAAAGTTTACAACATGCTACCCCTCCATTAAGAAATTTTGGAAATGAAAAACTTTGCTTTTTTAGGTTTCTTTGTGTTTTGGTAGATTAGGGGGAAACATGTACCAGTGGATGTAAATTGAGAAGTCAGTGGCCCAAAGAGAGCTGGCAGATGTCTAGAAAATCTCTGGAAATGGCGTTGAGAGTTTGGGTCATTTGTAATTTCCAAAGACAGCTGTCCTCTGGATGTACTTAATCTTCCTATGAATGACATGATTAGGAGACACTTCTGCTGGGGACTTGTGTCCTAGCTCCACACTCACCATATGTGCCCTGACTCGTTTCTTGTGTTCCTGGAATGCCTGGGCTTGAGCTCTGGGCTCTGAAATGTAAGTGAGCGAGAAACTTTTGCCAGGACGCAGGCGTGTAAAGAGCCTCTTATGGAACCTAGGAGTGTTTTGTAGAGCTCAGGAGCCAGCTATGTGCTCCATGGGGAGCTTCATTACTAACTGTATGCTTGACCCTTGTATGTCTGAAGTTAGCCCTTTACAACATGGGCTTGTAGAGCTGAGATAGTTGTCAAGATTGCCTCTACAGTCAACATGCAGAGAGTAGGCACTGCTGTCCTCTGCAAAAGGAGGCACCTACAGGCCAGGTGAAATCTCTTCTAGAGTGCTTTTTGACAAAGATAGACCAGAAAGAGCCTGGATGATCAGCTGGAGCATTCACATCTACGCTGCAGATACCTTATGGTACTTCAGGTGAGTCCCACCTCTCCTGCACTGGAAGGGTGGTAGATCATTCCAGGCCAGCTGTAAAACAACTATGGGTAGGGGACCAGCAGAGGTACCAGGGCGAGTCTCCTGTAGTGACTGTGACCAAGCACGTATAGGGGAATCTCTGCAGTTACAGTTCTACCTAAGCTGTGCGCTTCAGAGAGGAATTCCTCTCTTCTTTCAACAAAACCTTTCGTAAATAGTCTGGTTGTTACTTTTTTGATGTGGTTCTTGCATAGTAACGTGACATTCTCAAAACAGCCCATAACCCTATCCGACCTAATGTGGCAACTGCATTATTCCTAAATATTTATAGTTTAACATAGTTTCAAGAATACTTAACAGAAACAACAGAGTTAGATTTGTCTTTTTCATTCTGCTATCAGGTGATAGATCCACAAGATGCATCAATATTTCTATTTACAGTAGCAGAAAGCTGACTCTAGCCCTCTTGGAGCAAGAAAAATAGACTACATTTGATTCTTCTAGTTAAGCTGGAAAGATAGACGTTCCAAGAATACAAGATTTCAGATTCCTGTTGAGTCATGAGATAACAACTCTTGTTATTTTGGAATAATAAAATTTGGCTTAAATAATTGGTTTGGATATTAGCAGGGCATTTGTTTGAGCAAATAGAGAAAGAAAAAGTATTCTGGATAAAAAGGAATGAGCATTTTAGGCTGCATTATAATTGCACACTTTGAAGGGTGTGACATTTCCAACATTTGAAGTAATCTTACCAGTTACTGAGGAGAAAAATGCATTAAAAGAAGCTCTGATGGCATGTAGCAAAAGACAAAATTATGAGATGGTGCAGACTGAAAAAGGGGGAGGGGTGATTTGGTAATTTCTCTGGTTTGAAGGGTGCTTTGTACTGTGCTAATATATGTGCTTTTTTTTTTTTTTTTTTTTTTGGCCATAGGTCAGTCTATAGTGGGATGTAAAGCCATTCTTGTTGGTGACCAAGTCTTTGTGGTGGTGGCACAGCTTTTTGGTGGCTCACACATTTACAAGTATGACGAAAGCTGGACAAAGTTTGTCAAATTCCAGGATATAGAAGTATCTCGCATTTCCAAGCCAAATGATATAGAACTTTTTGAGATAGACAGTGAAATGTTTTTTGTCATAGCAGATAGCTCTAAAGCAGGTTTGTCAACAGTGTACAAGTGGAATAACAAAGGATTTTACTCATACCAGTCCCTTCACGAGTGGTTCAGGGACACCGATGCCGAGTTTCTTGATATAGATGGGAAATCATATTTAATCCTCTCCAGCCGCTCACAGGTTCCCATTATACTCCAGTGGAACAAAGCTTCCAAAAAGTTTGTCCCACACAGTGAAATCCCCAACATGGAGGACGTCTTGGCTGTGAAGAGTTTCAGGATGCAAGATAACCTGTACATCACACTCACGAGATTCATTGGTGACTCCAGAGTTATGAAATGGAATAGCAAACAGTTTGTGGAGATACAGGCTCTTCCATCCCGAGGAGCCATGACACTGCAGCCTTTCTCCTTCAAGAACAATTACTACCTAGCCTTGGGAAGTGACTACACCTTCTCCCAGATTTACCAGTGGGATGGTGAAAAGAAGATCTTCAGATTATTTAAAGAAATCTATGTGCAAGCACCACGGTCTTTCACAGCTGTGTCAACAGATAGAAGAGATTTTTTCTTTGCCTCTAGTTTTAAAGGAAACACTCAAATATTTGAACATATCATCATTGACTTGAGTTTATGAAAAGCTGCTGGAGCAAAATTAATGTAGAATGACATTTATATACAAACAAAACAAAAAGAGACCTTTCCAAAAACAGGGTGCACCTATGGAGTATGATGACATTTTCTGAACTTTTCAAACTTGCATATTAATCAGGGATTGCATTTACTTGGTTACAGCATGGCATGTCCGTTTTATCCTTTTTCAAAGACACTTTGCAATCTGCAGTCATTCAGGGGAGAGTGCAGTGCATTAGGATTAATGCTGACATCTAAGAGAATGATCTAAATTTTACACAGAAAACTACCTTGAGTTGAACATCTCATAAAGAAAGCAAAGAGTAAGCCATACAAACCATAGAAATGATGTTGACTCTTAAACTAATGTGTTAGTAATGATTCTAAGATTAGAGCCAGTTCTTCTTCGTCTTCTTCTACTGAACAGTAATGTTCCAGCATGCACTTCATTTTGGTTTCTGTCTTCAAAATCTGTCTTTGTGGTTTATAGTAAGTCTGAAGCATTATTTTAATTCATTGTAGATTAAAGGGAAAGTAAAAACCTATTGCCATTTTTCTTCCAATAATCACTATTTCAGCAACAGATTGTGCATAACAAATAACCCAGCCCACAGTAACTGAGTAGCCAGGAAAAGAAGGGTATGTCACTTCTAGACTATCAGATTTTAACAGGTTAACATAGACAGATAATAACAGATGCCTGCTTGGTGCCATGAATGAATTGACTACAAATTCTGTCCACTTTCTGTTTTAGTAGGTATTCGAGAAATCCATCCCATTTTGCCCTAGTTCACACTCTTCCTGATAATCCCAGTAGATTCTGAGGTGTTTTAACAAGTAAATCTGTAGTGGTCTCTCATTCTAGAAGGCACAGCCTAAGTTTAGCCTAAAACAGCCATCTGCATTCATGTTGTCCATGCTGTAGCTTGTCTGTACACAATTAGATGATTTATTCTCCAGTGTTCTCCCCTTAGCACAGCTCACAAGCAATAAATTCAGGTTTTCATCATCACAAGCTGTATTTGGGAATCCTCCTGGCTGAAGGTCTAAATATGACTTTTGTATCGCTGAGTCTTGAAACCAAGGCAGCTGGAGCAGTTCCAGGCTAGAGCTAACCCTGTCTCCAAAAAGGGTTTCCTCTTGGTAGCTCCAGGCTTTTGCCGGGTTGCCAAGCCATTGAAGGTTGAACAGGAGGATGTGAACAGACCGTGATGCACTGGTGTTTTGGGTTGCTTACAGACTAAGGTATTCAGTCATCCTAAATAGGGCAGCCCTGGCAGGCAGAGCCCCTGTCAGGGTAACAGCTAGGGATTGTTCTTCTGGAAAGGCTCTCCACCATACTTAACCCCACAAAACTGTGTATCAGAGCCCTTGTTTGTTCACTTACACAACACTTTTATTTAAGTTTTCATACCATGTAGCATATTAGGTTGTTTTATCATGTCTTGCTGCCACACTGCTGCCTTGGATAATAGGGAGGCTTTGCATAAAGCAGGCAAAGCAAAGGAAACTGTCCTTTACTCCTTCAGACTCAGGGCTGTCTCACCATCTCTGTGCCGAAGGACCTTCATGTTTTCATCCTGCACATGTGAAACATGGTCTGTAGTCACAAATAGAGATGTTCTCACAGGTTTTCCAGCATCCAAGATGTGAACAGTGCTGCAGAAGAGGATTATGGACAAGGAGTCCCATGAGAAGTCATAACCTGCCAGTGACCTGGAATATCACGGCCTTCCCCAACTTTTGCCTCACTACTATAAAGTAAAATTATTAGTCAGAGACATAGCTAATTTTGTTCTGTTTTTAAATGATGTGTTATTACTTTTTTGCTATAGAGGTGCTCATCCTGGTTCTATTTTTAATTACATTGGCAACTTAGCCCATCCAGCCATATGAAGTATTGCACTCTGCCCTCCAAATCCCAGTGCGGTGTCAGTCCTGTTGGTTCAGTCAGACCAGTAGATGGAAACCAACCCTCTGCAGCAGGTTTTAGCAATACCTCTCCTAGGATTAAGCTAACAAACCTGACACAATGAAGAGATGGTTCATATGTCTGCTAGTGAATGCAATTTCTTACCGTGTTCCCAGTTTACTTTTTAAAGCGGGTATGGCTGGCAAGCGATGTTTCTTTAAACTGTGTTGTGGGAAGGCGTTTTTTTATTGCTTTTCTGTCGAGTGTGCGTGTGAATAGAGTCAGATATTCTGATGAGGAGCTAGTTTAGAGAAATTGGATCTTGGCATTTTTTACTTGAAGGGAAGCAAGAGGATGGTGGAAAAGGCTTGTGTATCAAATACCAGGAGATTGTACTCTTTCAAGAGCCAAGGAGATTTTGAGACTTAGGTATCAAACTGAATTAAATTAAAATGGTCTCTGCAGAGACATGCTTAATAAAGAGGATAAAGTGATCCACAGGAGTCTAGCTCATTCACATGGGAGCAGAAAAAGAAAGTGAGGGAAATGAATTCTGCAGGCAGGCTGCTGCTTCTGCTGAGTAGCTATGTTGGTTGGTCAGAACGCCCACCTCAGCATCCCTCCCGGCTTCAGGAGGAGCCTGGAGTCAAACGCTGGCCTGCCTGTTCTGCTGAGTTAATGCACAAATGTCAAAGCATCTAAGAGGGAGAGCAGAAAAGCACCAGATGATAAAGAAAAGGGTTTATCGTACACTTCTCAGGATTAAACAAAGGCAGTGTCTCAAAAAGAGCCTTGTTCTGCTCTTCTTGCTCCCAAGGAAAAGCTGCAGGATGCAGCCATAACAAGAGAAATCACTAAGCATTGAAAATACTTTCTGCCTTTCCAAATGCAACAACAGTTTTGTCTCCATGGGCAATAAAATAGTTTTGAGTAATAAATAAACTATGCATATCCATAGTTTACTGCAACTGTTAGACAGTGAGAAAGGATAACAGAACATGCCAGCTGGTAATTTTTTATGTATTCTAAAATACATACAGCTATGTAAAGAGCAGTAGTTTATATAAGCATAGATTTAATACGGTGTGCTAGCTACAGTGGGAGCATTTTAATGCTGTATATACCATGAGCTTTTTTAGTAAAGAGGAGCTGAGGCAATCTATGCTACTGACACATGTATGTACTCTTTCAATGTATGAATAAAATGTAGTTAATGAGACTAATAGTGGTGCGTTGTGTGTGATAAAATATCCACGCAGTGAAGATCCACACTGCCAGAGAGATGGGCAAGGTGGCAAACGAGTCCTTGTCCGTTTATGATCGGGTTTGGCTTTTGACAACGTGGAGGAAGCCATGCTCAGCTTAGTTAAACTCAGTTTCTGTGCCTGAGGTAGCTCAGACCTCCAGGGTTTTGCAGTTCCCTGGCTTTCCCCTTTTTTCCTTACACCCCATCTAGTGTTAGCAGGTATGTAATGCAGCTATTACTACGATTTTAGGTTCATATTAGACTCAGTTACTGTTTCCTTTCTTTCTTTCTTACCGCAAAGCTAAGAAATCTTCATTTTCAAAACAATTATCAAATTATTCTTAAGATACTTAAGCGGGTTTCTTACATTCAGAGTGGATAGGAACCAAGCCCTAAAATTAATCCCTAGCCCTTCAGGTCTTGACTGTGGGGTCTCTTAAGATTTGTTACATTTTACTGAATCTTTGGCATTTACTCTGAAATTGCAAAAATACATATAGATCTATCAACAGTGAATGCACTTTATTTAAAACAATCCTTGAGTATTATCCACTGATCCTGCTAGTCACTAACACGGAATAATTCTCTTTGTTCCCTCTTCTTTCTCCAAAAACAGCACAATTCTCTGTAACTAATTGTAAGCTTGTGCAATCAAAGACATGTCTGACGTACCATAATGGGATGCAATTGCCCCAGGATCATTGCTTTCCTGTCAGCTATTCCACCTTTTTATGAGTCAGCAGCTCTTGTGGTGTGGTTCACTGAAACTCCATCATAACTCAAACATCAGCTTCAAATCAGCACCAGTTCTGCACCTGCCCTCCTCCACTTTCTTTGCCCTTGCTAGGTGAACCTTTTTTTTCCACCCATTACCACCTTCTCAAATCTTCCTCAGTGTTTATTCCTCCTTGAAAGTCACAGCAAGATACCAGGAGAAAAGCATTCCCAAAGAGCAACGTGGGGATTGTCACTCCTCTGGAAATTGCAAAGGGAAAACAGAGAGGGTCTTTTTGAAAGGTCAAGCCGAAGGCAGATGTGTAAGAAACAGTTGTAGGAGTCCCACTCATCCCCTCTAAGTCTCATTCACTCCTGGCCTACAGACCTGAGCTGCTACTACCGCTCTCTCTTGGCAGCAATGCTCACAGCCAGGAATTACTGAGACTTTCTTTTCACACCTTAACCCAGAAGAAATGGAGCTGAGCTGCTAACACTGGGTTTCTTTCCTGGTATCTGGAAACCAACCCCTTAACCCCTTTTGCATTCCCCATACTGTCCAGCCTCCTTTTTGAGAAACTGCAGGTGAGATGACCTTCAAAATCTGACAAAACCAGCTGGCTACATGGTGTTAGATTCTCCACAAAATAAGGGACTGATACTGTGAAAAGATTTCGAATGATAGCTACAAAAACGTAATCCACCCCCCAGTACCACTTTCCCCATAAGCCATTGCCATTCTTGCCGCACAGCTGCGTGGTGATTTGCAGAGGTGTTTTGCAAAATCTTGAATGGGAGGAAAGTTGCTGGAAAACAAGGTCCATTTTATGAAGCACTAGGCAAATTCTGTTATCTTTAGGTCTGAGTGGGTGGTTTGGAGCCATCCCCATACATCATGTGTAGCTGCATGTGTTGCAAGTTGCACATGATTCCTTACAAAGCCACACACAGCAAAGTCAAGCTGAATCTAACATCATGGCTCCAGGTGAAGAAAATGTTGAAGGGAAGCATCTGGAATTGCACAGTACCACCCTGGAATGATTCACAGAGGGGTGTGATGCACTTCGACAGGCAGGCAAGGGAGAGACATATGGGTTGAGTTGAGAAAGATTATATTGGTCTTCATAGAATCACAAAATTCATTTGAGTTGGAAGGGACCTTTAAAGGTCATCTAGTCCAGACCTGCCCTGCCAGGAGCAGGGGCATCTTCCACTAGATCAGGTTGCTCAGAGCCCCATCCAACCTGACTTTGAATCTTTCCAGGGACGGGGCATCTACCACCCTTCTGGGCAACCCGGTCCAGTGTTTCACCACCCTCATCATAAAAAAATTTTCTCTATAGCTAGTCTGATTCTACCTTCTTGTAGTTTAAAACCACTACCCCTTGTCCTATCGCAACAGGCTCTACTAAAATGTTTGTCCTCATCTTTCTTACAAGCCCTCTTTAAGTACTGA